TCCAGGGCCTTCTACACCTGGGCACTGAGTTAGACAATCAGCTAAATCAATACTGTTCCTGCTCTCATGGCTGTCATAGCCCACTGCAGGAGACAGACATCAATCAGGTTGCCATGCATGTATGTGGATGATTTTGAACTGATATGAGTGCTGTATAGGAAAGGTTTGTGGTGGTGGCTAAGAGTAGCTGGGAGGTTCCCAGAGGAAAGGAGGCTCCAGCTGAGATCTGAAGTCGAGGAAGAACTATCTAGGCCAAGGAGGGGGAAAGAAAGCTCAGGCAAGAGACCAAGCTATGCAAGACCCCCGTGGTAGGAGGGAGGCTGGGGCTTACCAAGAACTCAGGTGATGATGTTGGGAGTGAGGAGGAACGCAGTACAAAATGAAGTTGAAGAGGAAGGCAGGCCTGGATAACGTGTACTGAAAAAACCAGTCTGGCCACAGGGTAGAGGAGGGATGAGGGTGGAGGAAACAGAAAAATGGAGAAATCAGTGCGAAGGCCACAGCAGTGTCCAGACAAGATGGGATATGATGACAGCCGGGATGGAGAGAAGCTGAGGAATGGTAGCCAAGAGGATGGAGAGAAGCAGATGGCCGAGAGGGATATGTAGGAGAGGGGAGGGGCCCTGAGACATGCAGAGGAAGATGTGCACTAGGCGGTCAGATGTGTGGGTCTGGAGCTCAGAGGAGAGGGGAGAATTGGAGATAGAGATGTGGGGGACCTAGGGGTATATATAGTGGGGGAACTGGAAGCCATGGATGGGATAAGACGGCCTAGACATTGAGCATGGGGTGAGAAGAAAGAGGGTCTAGGACTGAGTCCTGGAAACTATTAATACTGGGTGAAGAGGAAGAACCTGAAAAGGGCCTGGAGCAGGAGCAGCAGGGAAGGTGAAAAAGGAAAACCGAGTGTGGCTTTATAACGGAAGAGTGTGTGCGTGGTTTCAAGAACTAGGGAGTGACCATCAGTGTCCGTGATACAGAGTAGTCAAGTCAGATGGAGAAATGAGGGAAGATAGCCCTTTCAAGAATTTAGCTGTGTTGGGGGACGTGGATACAACTCCCTCACCAGGTTCAGCTGCCTCATGAGCTTTCCTTTAACTGTGGGCATTTTTCCTTAACTAACAACCTGCCCCTGTTCCAAGGATAGACATAAACTGGGGTGTGTGAGGCATGGGGTTGTGTGTGCCCAATTTAAAACTGCATTAAAGAGGGACGCCTGGGTGGCTCAGTCGTTAAGCGTCTGCCTTCAGCTCAGGTCATGATCCCAAGGTCCTGGGATCAAGCCCCGCATCGGGCTCCCTGCTCTGCGGAGAGCTCTGCTCTCCCTCTCCCACTCCCCCTGCTTGTGTTCCCTCTCTTGCTGTGTCTCTCTCTGTCAAATAAATAAATAAAATATTTAAAAAAAAACTGCATTAAAGAACATCTCTGAATAGTCATCACCTCAGGTCAGTGGACCATATTACCAGTCCTCAGGTAGCATTTGATTTCACCTTAGAAGCTTATATTACCTTTTAATTGCTTTTCCTTTTGTTTGCCCTAGGAGAGATAGGCTTCTATTATTTTTATTCCCCTCCTCCATGAATGGGAGAGAGAGAAAGGAGAGTTTGTGGCCGATTCAGTCAAAGGAAAAAAAAAGTGAATCCTGTAGAGGACACTGTTAATAGCCTCCCTTGGCGCCTAGCCTCCATCTTCACAAACTTTTTGAAAGACTTGTCCACACTTTTTCACATTCCACCATTAATCTACCTTCTCTTTCATGGGCATTGGTCTCCTCAAGGTCACCAACAGCCAACAAACCAAGTTCCACTGCATTTGACACTCGATCACTTCCTTCATGAAACTCTCTCTCCTCTCTCCCCCAATGTGTCACTCTCCTGGTTTCTTCTGTTAATAAGAAATCATCCAGACTTTGGAAATAGGAAAATGAATAGGAAAAGGAACTACAATGATGTCCTCTCAGGGTCAGGTGCTGTTCAACGTGCCAGTTCCACCTGGGGATCACCTGATTTTCTAAGGAACATGTACCTTTGCTTGATTTCTGATTTACTATTGAGTATTTTATAACTCTGTAAGAGTAGAGGCTAATTCATAGGAAACTTATAATGAGTAAATGACTCTTGTCCAATAACAATGCAAATATTTTCTGTCTGATAAGGGGGAAACCCAAAGGTTGCACTTTCTTGCATTGTAGGGCATTAACCTTTGTTGTTAAGTTCATTTCAGCATTCCTTTGACCAACTCTGTATTCATTCTCAAATTCTTTTGAACTAGTGTTAAGATCTTACTGATGTCCTCATTCATTAATCAGTGAATAAAAGCTTTGACATGTGTTCATTTTATATTTAAGTAACGTTTTTTGAGTTTTTGAAAATTATTCTTTACCCCTCCTAATTCTGTGGCTCCACCTCAGCAGGCTGCACTGAGGACAGAGGTGAAGGGGGTGAGGTAGGGTTAAGTTAGGTGACCAAAAAGGAGTAAGGCACAGAGGGCATTCCTGGCAGGAGTCTAGGAACCCTCGTGTTTGCCTGTTGCCCTGGCTTGCTCTGGATTCCTAATTCTCCTGCCAGCTAGAACTCCCCCAGGGAACTGGTTTTCCTCTGAACTGTGCTGAACTGCAATGCCTGAATCCTCAAGCAACAAGGTACCTATACTGTAGGAGAGTCTGCCCAGCTTTTTCTGCTGGCCTCCAGAGGCCACAGCTGAGGAAGGACTGCTTCCTCCTCTCCCCATCCCCCACCCCTTCAGGCCTAGAAAACAAGTGTAATGCTGGGGTCTATCACTGTTACCCAAAGCTGGCCACCCCAAGCACAAACTTTCTTTGAAATGTTCTTAAAAATTCATGCACATGCATTCCATGCATTCAATCCAATTTTGTTAACTACCGTGTCCCTTTCACCAAATAAAACTAGCCCTCTAAAGAGCCCCATCTTGTGTTTGTGCTGTGATTCAGCTCACATTTAAGAAAAACTTTGATGTGTTATACTCCTGCTGTTGGGTCCTACATCTACATATCATTCAATCCTCACACTCTCCTTTGGGGGGGGTAATATTATCCCATTTTACTGATGAAGAAACTGAGATTTTGAAGGGTTAAGTGGCTTGCAAAGGTCACACATGGTGTAAGGGACAGAGCTTGTCAGTTTGAAACCCAGATATGTCTGATGCTGATTATGCCTTCCCTTGGTTTATAATTATTTGTTCCTCCATGGTTAGAGCTAGTAGGGCCTCAGAGACCCTAGGGTCCCACTTACACCCTCTTCAGATGGGAAGACAGGCCCAGGTAGGGGCCAGATCTAGCCCAGGGTAACATAGAAAGGAAGGTGCAAAATCAGGACTCAAAGCAAAAACTGACCAGTGGTGCCCTCTGGAAACCTAGAGGACTCTCCCTGTCTTCCAACCAGGCTATCAGAAATGTTGCAAGTACATATTTTAAGAAAAAAGGAAAAGAAGAAGATAACAGGAGAGGAAGAAAAGGGGAGTATGTCAGAGGGGGAGACGAACCATGAGAGATGATGGACTCTGAAAAACTGAGGGTTCTAGAGGGTAGGGGGGTGGGGGGATGGGTTAGCCTGGTGATGGGTATTGAGGAGGGCACGTTTTGCATGGTGCACTGGGTGTTATGAACAAACAATGAATCATGGAACACTGCATCAAAAACTAATGATGTAATATATGGTGATTAACATAACAATAAAAAAAATTAAAAAAAAAAAAAGAAATGTTGCAAGAAACCATGCTCAGGAGTTTACAGTGGACTGAGCCTTGGGGAGTCAGGAAATTGGGGTTCAAGCTCTGGGCTTTGGGCAGCTCACTACTCTTCTGGAGTCTCAACAGTTATGTATGTAAAATGGGCCAGTTATTGGGAGACTTTAAAGAGACACAGTTGGCAAGGAAGTAGGCTGTAAACCTACCAACTGCCTAGAAGTGATAGACCAAGGCTCTGGAACCTTAAGCTCAGATTCAGGTTTTATCCCTTAAATAGCCTGTCGCCCAGGCGCCTAGGTGGCTCACTCACTCAGTTGAGCATCCCAATCTTGATTTCAGCTCAGGTGTTGATCTCAGGGTTGTGAGTTAAGCCCTACATTGGGCTCCATGATGGAGCCTACTTAGAAAAATAAAAAATAGGGGCGCCTGGGTGGCTCACTTGGCTAAGCATCTGCCTTCCATTCAGGTCATGATTCCCAGGGTCCTGGGATCTGTCCTGTTGGGCTCCTTCCTCAGAGGGGAGCCTGCTTCTCCCTCTACCTGACTGCTGCTCCCCCACTTGTGTGCACTCTCTTTCTCTGACAAAGAAAATCTTTAAATAAATAGCCTGTCACCTTGGCTAAGTTTCTATGCCTCAGTTTCCTCATATGTGAAATGATGCTAGTAATAGCACCTATTCAATAGAGTTGTAAGATATCAAGCAGTCGGAACAGTCACTGACATGTAATGATCATTGTAAATCTGCCTTCTTTTTAGTTGATTTTTTATTATGTTATGCTAATCACCATACATTACATCGTTAGTTTTTGATGTAATGTTCCATGATTCATTGTTTGCATATAACACCCAGTGCTCCACGCAGAACGTGCCCTCTTTAATACCCATCACCAGGCTAACCCATCCTCCCACCCCCCTCCCCTCTAGAACCCTCAGTTTGTTTTTCAGAGTCCATAGTCTCTTATGGTTCGTCTCCCCCTCCGATTTCCCCCCCTTCATTCTTCCCCTCCTGCCATCTTCTTCTTTTTTTTTTCTTATAACAGGTTTACTGCTCAAGGCGAACCTATTCTCTAAGGGCAGGTTACACCGATCTCCTCCAGGCCCCGCCCCCTCCAGCAGGCCCCGCCCGCGTCCCCAACTCGGCCCGCCTTCTCCTCCCCAGGTCCCGCTCCCGCTGTCCTGGGTTCCTCCCGCCACCAGGGGGAGGCGGCGCTGAGGGGGAGGGGTGTGGTGCTTCTAGCCGAAGTAGGCGACACTCTAGGGAGCAGCGACAGCTGCTCTGTGGCCAGTGGCGGGGGCGCTCTAGCCGGCGAGTGTGCGAGGTGGGCTCTCAGTGGTGCGGCCGGCAGGCGGCTATGGCGGCCGTACGGGGCCTGCGAGTGTCGGTGAAGGCAGAGGCCCCGGCGGGGCCGGCTCTAGGGCTCCCGTCGCCTGAAGCAGACTCCGGTTTGGAGCGTGGCGAGCCGGAGCCCATGGAGGTGGAGGAGGGCGAGCTGGAGATTGTGCCGGTGCGGCGGTCGCTGAAAGAACTGATCCCGGTACGGGCGGGGGGCGGGGGCGAGGAGGAGGTCGCTGAGCTAGTGCCCCGCGGCCCAGCCGGCCGGAAGGGGAGGTGGCCGGCGCCTGGGCCGGGGGAAGTCAGGGGAAGGGGAAAGAGGGGAGTGAGCGCTCGGGCGGGGGGTGGGGGGCGGAGGCGCCAGGCTTGAGGAGAGACGGGGAGCGGGAGAAGGGACGCCAGGGCGCTCGGAAATGGGTGTTGAGGGGCCTGGAGAAAATGGGGGAGACTAGGGGGTAGTTGAGGACACCCCTTTTGCTGCCTCTCTGAGCCAGGCTGTGCAGGGGGGTGAGCGAGGAGGGCCTGGAGTTGTCTGGGCGCTTGAGATAAAGGCGGGGCCCCGGGCGGGAACCGGAGGAACTGCCGGGTGACGCCTGCATCAGGGTCTCCGTTGGAGCTGATGTTTGTTAAAATACAGCACTCGCGGTTTCTCTTAGAGGGTTGGACTTGTCAGCAGCAGAAACTTAGTGTTTCTTTTGTGACTTGAGAGTCATCTTGTCCCCATTCCACTTGCTCTGTAGCACCTACACCGTGGCCCCGGCATGTGACCCTTAGTGAGACCAAAACATAAGCGAACCTGCAGTGGTCCTTGGTCCGTCTTTTATCACATGGGGGGTGGGGAGAGGTGTTTTGCTTTTGGTCTGGTGGTCCTATGTCCCGTTCTTAGGGCTGGTCTTAGGCCTGCATGGCTCTTATGTACTTAATTTCTCATCTAACATGAACTACTTTTTACCACATGTCAGCAAGTCTGGCTTTTAAACTGAAATAGTGGGAAAAAGCAAAAAAGATAGGATCACTAAAGATAGCAAATGATAAAGACTCTGGTAACCATTAACATAGTGGCATTTTACCATTTACTACATTATGTTGTTTAAATATTAGTGCAGTTGTGAAGTAGATATTATCCCTTTATTCGTCCAGTGCAGCATGCAGCCAGGCACAATCCTAGGCCCTTGATCAAGATCAAGATCAAACTCTCTCCTGGAGTTTATGTTTTAGTTGGAGGACACAAATTAAGAATTTCAATAGTAGTAAATGCTATGAAGAAAGTAAAACGTGTCAATGGGACAGAGAGTGCAGAAAACAGGGAAGGTGTGCAGAGCGGGAAACCAAATGGGCTAGGATGGTCAGGGAAGTCCTCGGATAGTGACTGGTGACAGTTAAGCTGAAGCCTGAGTGACAAAAAGGAGCCAACCAAGTGCAGATTTGGAAGAAAGTATTCCCAGCAGGGGCCACAGTAGGTGCAAAGGCTATGAAATGGGAACACAGTTGTTTTGTTGGAGAAATGGAAAGTTCGGGAGAGCAAATGGGAGAGCAGTTAAGGAGGTTAGGAGGGTAGGCAGATACCATGGAGGAAACCCAGGCCCAAAGAGGCCAAAGAAATTGTACAGTGTCAAGTACTTAGTGAATCTCAGAGCTGTGACTTCCAAGTCCCATTCTCTCTTCATTGCACTGAGCTGTGTTTTCCTAGGAGGTCTAGGTGAGTCTGGACTTTCTGCATTTTGGTGAAGACTTGTGCTCCACCTGGTGGCCTGGCATGATGAATTTGTCCTATGTGGGCTGGGGAGATGAGTGAGTGTGCCTTACTTAACTTGGACATTTTTCATGAAAGCCTGTAGATTTTCATTTACATAAATACCTTCAGCAGATGGACTTAGTTAAGGTTTGGGACAGGGTCTGACCTAGAAAAGACTTCTTGTCAGAGTGGTTGATTGCGTACTACCTGGAGTTACTGAGACAGGCTTCCTCATTGTAAAGGGTTGTCAGGGTGAGGAAGGATTGCTGAAAGGAATGACTACCCAAAAGGAATCTGTTGCGGGGCTGTCTTTCATCATGAGTTTTTCTTCAGTTGCTGTTAGCATTTCTCACTCTTCGCCCTCGTGTTAGGACACAAGCAGAAGATATGAAAACAAGGCTGGCAGCTTCATCACTGGAATTGATGTCACCTCCAAGGTAAGACAGACCATAATTTATTTATTCATTTTGATAAGCAGGTGAACTTAATGAACTTGATCCCTTGGATTTGTGGAACAGCAGTTACTCTTTACCTCCATTTTTCTTTTGTTGCTTGATTAAAACTTTTTTTTAACTTAAATTTTATATTATACAATGATGCCTTCATGCATCCTGAAAACATACAGGCAGTATTTGTGTTCTTACATTTGTGAAAAGATAAAATCCATGTACTTTGTTGCCTGTGCTTAACCATAGCTAAGAAAAAGTTCTGCACTGGGAATGTTTTTTTTATGTTATATCTACTCTTTAAAAATGTGTTTTTAAATACTGTTTTTAATACTGTTTCCACTTCAAATGAAACAAAACATGAAAAGTACCTGGCATATAGGAGGCTGTTAGTAAATGTCTTTATTTTTCACTGGTTGCCGGCTTAGAAAAATAGGATTTCCTGATTGTGTGACTGTCTAAACTTTGAAAGCCAAGTCAGCTGAATTATTCTCAGTACCTGGGAGTATTGCCTTTTATCTAGTGGCTGCTATTACTAGGTTACCAGCTTTCCTATAACTCTTTACAGAGCCTAGCCTATTATTGTCCTTATTATAAACAGTATACATTTGTTGCTTTAATTGGATACTTGATAGTATCCAGCTTAGACATTCATTCTGATTTTAATGTGTGCAGTTTAGAACAGAATTTTGAATTAATAATTCTGAATAATAGTACTGTTTAACTAACAGTTAAATAGTACTGTTTAACTATATTGGGCATATAAAAATAAACATGTCCTGCTTACCTTTTTGTATTTTATCTGGGTCTCAATCTGTCTCAGATTGCTTAAAGGCCAAAAGAAAGAACTAGTCATCTTTTATTTTATTTTTTTTAAAGATTTTATTTATTTATTTATTTGAGAGAGCGAGAATGAGAGAGAGAGAGAGAGCACATGAGAGGGGGGAGGGTCAGAGGGAGAAGCAGACTCCCTGCTGAGCAGGGAGCCCGATGTGGGACTCGATCCCGGGACTCCAGGATCATGACCTGAGCTGAAGGCAGTCGCTTAACCAACTGAGCCACCCAGGCGCCCAGAACTAGTCATCTTTTAGACAGGCAAGAAAATAGAATAAAGTGAAGATGTTTTCTTACCGTAATTGAAAAAGTAGATGGTTCTGTTCTTACTCTTGTACAGTTAGCCATTATGTGAAACATATATGAGGGAAAGGGTGGTAGCCCTAGAATTGGGACTTAAGTTGTTACTAAGGAAAGGTAGATTTGTTGTTTGCACTGGGAACACTTCAGTGAAGAAAAGTAGCAGAACTGTTGGGGAATAACAAAGTGTTGCCGCTTTACCAATCCCCACAAGCTTTCTTGTAGTCAGACGTTCAATTAGTGTCGCAAAGTCAATGTACAATTAGTGAAGAGTTCCTAAGAGCTATCAGAAACCCACAGTTGGACCTGGACTTATTTTAGCTCTTGGAGAAAAACTTAAAAAGCTGATTATTTTGTTTTTCAGTGAAGTATCAGTGCTTTTTGTCACTTAAAGATGAAAACTGGCAATTCCATGGACACAAGCCTAGAATAGAGGAGAGAGTTTCTTTGCTTTAATGTTATTTTTAAACAGGGAAAACGCTTTAGGGAGTGGACTGCTCAGGCAGACATAATGTGATAGGTGTGATTACCATGCACACAGATGATGTGAAATGCGGGTGGTGATGGGGTTTCTAGAAATAGCACTGAGATCAGAAGATCTGCCCCCCCACCAGCCAAAGTATCTCCAGCAAGCATTTTGACTTTTTCTACCTCAGTTTCTGCACCTGGGAGATTAGAGTGAGATTGTGTAGTTGTAATTTGTTTGCCTGATTGCTAATAATAAGTAAAATGTCATAGAACTAAAGTCATAGAACTAAAGCAGTCCTTAACTTGTTGAATCAATAAATATTCATTGAATTCCTACTATGCCCCAGACACAGTGATACACATTGAATCATGGAGATTATTACAAATTATAGCAGTATTAGTATATGCTGACCCAGTCATTGACTGTGAATATCCATTTCTCTGCAAAAATTATTAAAGGCACAATGTTGCTTATTTCTTCTGATTTACTTTAGGGTTGTCACTGAAGTATTATGTTGCATTTGTGATTTAACTTTCCTCCTCCGTGTGACACTTTGGCTTTTTTTGTACCTTCTAGGAAGCAATTGAAAAGAAAGAACAGCGAGCCAAGCGCTTCCATTTTCGATCAGAAGTAAATCTTGCCCAAAGAAATGTAGCCTTGGACCGAGACATGATGAAGAAAGGTACAATGTGTTGGGGGGTATTTTTCCACATTTCCCCAGAAAATGGGTTTTCCCTGCCATGGCCTTGTGCTTTTGGCCTTGCCTTGCATGTCCAGTCCTCATCCAAACACTCCCAAAGGAAGGGACTTGTGAAGCCTCCATTTCTGAGGTGATGTGTTTAAATTTGGGCTGCTGGGGCGCCTGGGTGGCTCAGTCGGTTGTGTCTGCCTTCGGCTCAGGTCATGATCCTGGAGTCCTGGGATCAAGCCCCACATCGGGCTCCATGCTCAGCGGGGAGTCTGCTTCTCCCTTTGCCCCGCACCTTGTTCTCATGCTCTCTCTCACTCTCTCTCTCAAATAAATAAATAAAATCTTAAAAAAAAAATAAAGTTGAGCTGCTGTTAGCTGTGTCTTTAGATGCTATAGCTGGAAAAGAGAGATCATCTTGTCTGAGAAAGCCCAGAGAAGGTCACCCAGTTAGTAGCAGAGCTGAGATTAGAACCTATACTTCTACAGAATCTTACTCATTTTCTGCTTTTATCATGGAAGTGTTAACTTTTCTTTGCCTTTAAATGTAACGGAAGTGTGGGATGTCTGGGTGGCACAGTCAGTTAAATATCCGACTCTTGGTTTCAGCTTAGGTCATGATCTCATCAGGTCATGAGATTGAGCCTCACATTGGGCTCTGCGCTCAATGCAGTTTGCTTAATTAAGTCTCTGTCCCTCTCCTTCTGCCCCTCCCCCTACATGCTCGTTCACGCTTGTGCTTTCTCTCAAATAAATAAGTAAATAAATAATGTAATGGAACTGATAGGTTTTTTTAGGGGAGTCAGGAATATTGGGATTGGTAGGGGAAAACCATTAATACTTGTGTGATACAGGTTTGTAATTTTATTTTTGTGTTTTATTAGGGTAAACATTTTGCTTCCTAGAACTCACCCTGAATTACATATATAGTAATCTGCCCCAGTCTTCCAAAGCAGTTTATAAATAAAAAGAAAAATTAGTCTTTTAATTCACAGCCCATATTATTCCACTCTAATATAAATCCATCAGTGCAAAAGGTCTCCTTTAGTATTTGCAAATTTGGGTATTTGTGAAGGGCTTAGTAGGCATCCTTCTGAATGCATGTTAAAGGTCTCTGCTTGCTGTGTAAGTTTTTCTTGTTGGGAACTTGCTGTTTTACCAGGCACTACGTCACTTAGCACATTACACACTTGTTTCTCAGTCATTTCTCACAACAACCCTATGAGAAATATATTTTTATCCCTATTCTACAAAGAAATTTAATAAATGCCCAGGGTTACACAACTAATAAAAGTAGAGTCAGGATTTGAACCCAGGTTTTCTGACTCTAAAGCCTTGCTCTTAATTACTTTGCTCTATTGCCTTATAGTACGTATATGATACCATAAACCCAAACCTCCTCAGTCCATCCCAGTGGACAGAGTAGCTTGGATACAGAGCTCAACTCTGGATGCTGCTTTACTCTTTTTCTGCACCATGAGTTGAAGTTGGAAATATGACCTTGCTTCCTGTGTAGGCTGGGTTTCCAGGCATCTGCTTGAGTGGATTTCTGTTTTAGGAAAATAGAACAGCTGTGCAGCTTGGCATTCATGTGCCTGTACAGTTTGGGCTCAAGTAGACCTCTGAGGCCTTTCACAACTCCACCTTGAAGCACCATAGTTTTACTCCACCTGTTTACTTCTAGTCCTGTGAACATTTCTTGTGATTTTTTTTTTTTAAGATTTTATTTATTTGTCAGAGAGAGAGAAAGAGCGTGCGCACAAGCAAGGGGGGAGCGGCAGGCAGAGGGAGAAGCGGGCTCCCCACTGAGCAAGGAACCCGATGTAGGACTCGATCCCAGGACCTGAGCCGAAGTCAGACGCTTAACTGAGCCACCCAGACATCCCATCTTGTGACATCTTGCTCTGATCTTATTCATGCCTTTTAGTCTGCTGATTAGCCCTTCCTTATCCCGTGCTTTATCTGGTTCAGATGTCACTTCCTCCGTAAAGCATCCCTAATCACCCACTCAAATTTCTCTCCCCTCTGTTGGAACTCTTTAGTGTGCTAAGCCCTCCTGGAATTCAGTGTCAGTTTCTTTGTGAATGTGGGCAAGTTATTGAACCTTTTCAGGTCTCGGTCTCCTTGTTTATAAAGTGGGAAAATGATACCTACCTGAAAAGGATCACTTTCAAGGTGTAGTTTTAATTAAAAAAAAAAAGCTTTAGGGACACCTGCGTGGTTCAGTCCATTAAGCGTCTGCCTTCGGCTCAGGTCATGATCCCAGGGTCCTGGGATCAAGTCCCACATCGGCTCCTTGCTCAGTGGGGAGCCTGCTTCTCCCTCTGCCTGCCGCTCTTCTCTCTCTCTCTCTCTGACAAATAAATAAAATCTTTAAAAAAAATAAAAAGCTTTAGTTTTGTTTTTGTTTCTGTTTTTTTGGAAAAGCAATCCTGATTGATCTGCCTAGGATGTCAGCTAGAGAGGGTTGTTCATTACAACTTGTTTCTCATCTGGGAGGCCTCATGACCTAGGATAGTGTTGCTAAACTCTGGAGAACCCTGCTGCCTATCCCAGATCAATTTAAATTAGAATGGGAGGGGGGTTATAAAGGTCCCAGAGATAGTTCTTTCTTTTGTGTCTCCCCAGGTAATTCTAATGTATAGTCAGGCTTGAAAGCCTTTAATGTAATGGTTAAGAGCATGGGTTCTGAAGCCTGACCTGTCACTTTCTAGCTCTGTGACCTTGGGCAAGTTATTTAGCCTCTAAACCTCAGTTTCCTTATCTGGAAAGGCAGGACTCTATCCCAGGACCCCAGGAGTTTTTATAGGGTTATTGAGAGGCTTTATTAAAATGTTACAGTTCTTAGAGTGGCATATAGTAAAGTGCCCAATAAATGTTGTTATCATTATCTGATGTTCTCCATCTTCAGGCAGCCATCCAAGTGGCCTAGCCTCTTGGGAGAATGGGGACATTGGAATAATGACTCCTGCAGCCACACCAGGTGTCAAGTTATTTCTTCTTCTTTCTTCTTCTTTCTTTTTCTTCTTTCTTCTTCTTCTTTTCCAGCAATAATAAAAGATACCACTTGATAAATGCTTATTATGTGCTTGTCACTCTGCTATGTGGTTAACTTAATCCTTTGAGCAGTGCTGTGAGGGGGAGAGTATTCATTTGTCTTACTGATGAGGAAACTAAGGTGCTGAGTTTGAGAAGCTCGCTCAGGTCCTACAGCTAGGTAAGTAGCAAGGCTGGGATTTGAAGGCTGGTCTGACCAAGGCCTGTGTTCCTAACCTCTCTGCCAGCATTCAGTAACATAGTTTGGGATATGTTGCACTAGAGCATTCTGCATCAAGAGTTCTTGCTAATCTTGAGTGATTCATTGTCAAGCAGCTTTAGTCTCCTTATCCCCAAGATCAAAGCTCTCATGTTTGGAAGGGACTTAGAGGTTATCTAGACCAACCTCCTGCCCAGTGCTGCAGGCCCTTTGGCAAGGTTCTCAATGGTCTTTTGGCCTTTGCCTGAACATTTCCTAGTGGTGGCACGAGAACTATTTATGAAGCGGTCAGTCTTATGTTTGGATACTTCCTCATGTTGAGTAGAAATTGCTTTCTAGTAATTTCTGTCTATTAGTTACTCCTGTGACTCTTAGAACAACATTAAGTCCTTTCCTTATTCACACAGTGAATCTTCTGAGGCAATTGGCAGGCTGTGCCCTAAACTTTCTTTATGTGACATGACTTTCTGGTCTCCTTCCTCTAGACTCTTTCCAGTCTCAAAATGCCCTACATAAGGTGAGGTGTAGATTCCAGATATGGTTGGATTCATGGGGAGTGTGGCAGGACTGTTACTGTAGTATCTGTCCTAGCTGTTTTGTAGTGTTGTATTAACCTTCTAGTCAACCTAAGCACCCAGGGCTTTCCCCCAGGAATTGCACCCATCAAAACAGTCTTCCCATCTTGTTCTTGAGATACTTTTAAAAAATTACCTTTTTATTTATCCTTATCAGTTTACATCTTGTTGATTTCAAGACTATTTCAGCCTATTGAGTTGATTTTATCATAACTATCTTTCAACATTTTAGCTATACTTCTCACTTTGTTATGCATGGCTTCTGCATCTTGGTAAATATTAAGATAATCCTGTATCATGCCATGAAACAGATCCATGAATTATTAGTCTTACTCTGTTATCAGGCCTGCATTTCATTTTATTGTCATGAGGAACTAGATTACATGCCTTAATAAACTTGAGGTAGAACACCATCTGTAGTATTCTTTGAATTTCTAGGTCTGGTAATCCTATCAAAAAAGAAACAGGTTAGTGTAAACTCTTGTAATTTCTTATGGGAAAGACTTGGTTTCTTAAGGGATCATAGAGTCTGTCTGATAAGCTTTTTTTTTTTTTTTAATCCAAAATCTGTTTATTGGGATAGTGTCCCACTCATCTTGATTCAGGGTGCTTTTAGTGCTGCTTCCGCCTGAAGGAGCATCCTTCTGTAAGCCTTGCTTTTCCTCCTGTGGGCTGGCGGAGGACAGTGGAGCAGCCAACACAGACAACTACCGTTTGTGTGTGGCTCAAGACGGTAGTGCTTTTGTAGCATTCCAGGGAAAGGTACAGGAGGTCTTTTGCCAGGGGCATGTACTCATGGGGAGGTCATCACTGCCAGAAACGTTTTTTGTTTCTTTTGGGGTGTTTTTGTTGTTGTTGGGTTTTGTTTTGTTTTGTTTTGTTTTAATTTCAGAGAATGACATCGTTTCAGTCTGTGATTTGGGAAATAATTTCTCTTTTCCTCTTATGAGAATCAGTACATGATTAGTCTTTCTTAAGGCTTTAAGGTACTTTACTCCTTCTCTGCAACTTCCTAGAGATTATCTACCTAATTTGGAGATTACTGCTTAATTCTGAAATCACAGCTAAGTGTTTTAGTCAGTGCAATGGGATGTAATTTTTGAAGAAGATTTAAACTTATTAAAGCTAATTCTTAGCTGTTATCATCTGTCTTGGGTTTTAGT